TTTCGTACGAGCTAATAATGTATTTTATCATGTGAGAGGTCATGGTATTAATTAATAATATCTTGGGTCACTGCCTGGGACAATCCACAAATACCAAACGACCCAAGATATTATTATTACTTGTAGTCTTGTATTAGTGCTTCGCAGGTCTGATCCGAAGTCCAAATTTGAAGAATTCTGGAAGCTCAGGTTACATGAAATGATAAAATTTTTGGACATCACTAACATACTAGACTCGATACCAGTGATGTCAAAAATGATACTCAAGTTATATTATGTGATTTCAGACCGGCTTAATTTATTGTTTGTATCGGCTAGAGATAGATTATTAATAAATTCTACAGAACCTTTAAAACATATCATATACATTATTTGTAACCTCTACATATTTTTATTTTATCATATACACTATGTTATTTGAGATTTATAATCAAAGTGAGAAAATAAATCAACTCATCGAAATCTTTGTGTTTGTCTATGTTAAAAAAAATCATGACCTTCAATGTAAATATTAAGTCCAAAATATTAAGACTCTCAGCTCATATCCGTTTATAATGGAAGCTAAAGAAACTTTTTGGAAAATACTCAATCGTTGACCTTAGTTAATTGCACACAAATCAATTTAACGATCGATCTAGTAAATTCAGCAAACCGGAACATAGATAGTAAGGAATTGAGTACTGAAGATATGAATCCGAATCTGAAAATTTAAGAAAGTACCAAAAAACCTTTTGAATCGAACTTTAATTCTATTCAAAAAATGGTAGATGACGTTAAAGTTTTCGAATGAGAAAAATTTCATGTATAATAATAATAACACCAAAATTTGTATATACTACAGTTGCATTAATGAAAATTTGGATTTGGTTATAAATGCATTTTATAAATTCGAATTGAATGTAACAATAATTAAATAAATTATTTTTTCAAACCATTTCGTGCTCTTATGATTGCTATTTTTGTGTGCAGATTAAAATTTAAAAAGCAACTACGTACGTACGTACGTACGTACGTAAGTACGTAACAGACGCCCGATTTGTCACGCAGATCACAGGGGTAAATTTTTTACTATGTAATTTGAGTGATCGACATGCATATGGTGGGCTTATTTTTCATAGTAAATTGCAGCAGTTGGCCTTTTTCGAATGCCGTTTTCAGGGGTTTCTTAAAAGGAAACCACACTCACGAGGAAGTACTATAGTCTAATAATACAAGTACTTTCTTATTTTTATATTTAAAACGAGATAAGTAATAACTGTGAAAAGAATGCGGCCCTTGAAGTTGGCCTTTCATTTCATTTTTTATATATAGTATTCGCTTGTTATTTGGTTTTTATAAACTTACCAAGCATATTTAAAAACTACAAACTACTAAAACTTTTATAAAAGGTTACAAGCTACGATCACAAGGTACGAGTTTTAATTTTAAACAAAACTTGTTAGGGTTTAGAAATCTTGGCATTAGAAAAAATTTTAAACTACGTATTTGAACTTGAATTACTACTAGTAGTTTAAAATCTAATGGCTTAAAACCGAATCTATTACTAAAAAAAACAATTTATTAAAATTTGAACAGGTTAAACCAACTTTATTATGGACGACGTTAGCTTTGTGAATTTATTATATTAAATATCATCAGGTTGGATTAGTTAGATCATAGATTAAAACCAAGATATAGCTGTAATTTGAAATACGATTGTGATTCAAAAAAAAAAACCAAAAACAAAAATAAAGAATGTAAATTTATTTTTTTTTTATTAAAAATTACATGATTCTTTAATAATATCTTAAATACATCAATTAATAAATGAACTTGGTACCGGAAAAAAGGACGAAATTGACAAAAAAAACCCCCTCACAAAAAATTAATTATCTCATGAACTATTGATCAGAATCACATAATTTTGGTACCATTCGATGCGTCTTGATGAGACGAATCGAACGGTACCAAAATTATATGATTTTGATCAATAGTTCATGAGATAATTAATTTTTTGTGAGGGATTTTTTTTAACACTTTCGACCCTTTTTCTAGCACCAAGCCCAAGTAATTTAAAAAGTGCATACTCAACAAACCTATAGAAACAAAATATGGACTCAATTAAATAAAAAAGTTAGTGAAATGATAAGTATTGACGAAAGTGAATAGCTTAAATATATGAATAAATGGGCGATCTATATACTGTAAAATAGTTTTCCTTGATTTTATTCATTACTTTAATAAGGGACCAACCTTCCAAAGCTTAATTTTGCTGAAAGCTCTCGTTCAAACGCGTCTAGTGAAATACTTCTTGGCCGATGAATTTGCAAACCTGAAAAGAATGCGGCGGAAACAGACAAAATAATAGCTTATGTTCAAGAGTATGTTATTTTATAAGGAGAAGTTCGTTTCCTATGTTTTTGATACCTTTTAGCTCGTAGAAACTTCAGCAATAATTTTATCTTAGAGAACGTAGTGTACTTTAACTAAGCTTTTAGGTAAAATTTTTAAAAATGTAATTTCGTCGATTTGTGTAATTTATGAAAATCATATGACAAAATTTTAGATGTGACAAATCGGGCGTCTGTAAATTAGATTAAACGCGTAGCATTACGTGTCCTTGCAATAAAAACTTAAAAAATGTATCCATAATTAAATTGGTCGTTTTAAAAATTTTGCTATTTTTTAAAACTGCTTGTAAAACTCTTCTTGAATAAATTTGGTAAAAAAAACTTTTTATTTAATTTGCATTTTTATAGAATTAAAATAAAAGGATTTTTTATAGGCGCAAAAATACCGTTCCTGATGAGGTGGGAAAAATCAATTTACATACTGTTCCTGATAAGGTTCTAAAAGAGGACCTTCAAAATACCATACTATTATAATGAAAAAAAGTTAAGGTTAGGGTTCGTTTTTGGAACTCTATCAGGAACAGTAATTAATTTTTTTTTAACTCCAAAATAGGTATTGCGATTCATCAGGAATATCAGGAATAGTATTTTTGCTTGATAGACGGTTGCCAAAAATATTTACTTAAAGTGTAAAAAAGTATCATAAAATTTGACAAAATTTTTTTAAACTTTAAATAAAGATTTTTTTATTTTAATTCTACAAGTTTATAGAATTAAAATAAAAAATTTTTATCAAATATTTAAATAAGTAGTTGTCAAGAAATATTTATTTAAAATTTTATAGCAGCTTTTTTATCTTTTAATAAATTCTAATTTAATAAATTTTTTATTTGAAGTTTAAAAAAATTTTTTGTCTTAAAATTGTTTTTAATATTTAAATTTTTGAACTTTAAATAAATATTCTTGGCAACTAATTACTCAAATTTGATAAAATTTTTATTGAAATTTTTATTAAATAAAGATTAAAATAAAAAATTTTTGCTAAATTTAATCAATTAATAATTAAAAAAGATAGCAAAATTATTAAAATGATTTTAATTTTATTAATTGGTTATTTTATATATATTTAAAACTATATATTGTAATCTAGCAAATTATTTAATTCCTATTTTTTATAGCAATATTGTTAATAGAGTACTTCGGACTATAATAAAACATATAACTCACTTCTAGAGTGCTTTGGAGTAGGTTATTATATACTGGTGCATTCTATTAACAACCATAAATATTAGAATTATTTTTAAAATATTTGCTAATCTATGAATAAAATTATAAAAACCAGCTTGATATAACTGATTAGTTGTTATTATTAATATTTTTATCTATGTTCTTCTATTTGATTATTCAGATAATTAATATAAATCCCAATATATAATTTTAAATACATTTTAATAGTATTAATTAGTATAAATAAACCTCTTAGATGATGAGATGATTGTCAAGAAAATTTCATCTTATATTTAAAAAAAATTAAGCTAACCTAAAGTTTATAGGTGAAAAAATTTTATAACTTTGGTAATATTTCTTCGCTAACTAACTAACCTTAATTGTCATAGATCATAATGAAATCGGATTAAAATAAAATGAAAAGTTTCTATTTGCCCCTCTAAAACATACTTATATTGTTTATTATAAAACCTAATCCTAAATCCTAATCCTAACTCTAAAAAAATGCTAAAAAAAGTGTACCCAAAAATTTGTATTTTTCAGTGGCTTGTCAATTTTACACTATCTCTCATTTATTTTAATTTGATTTCATTTTAATCTGTCACAATAATTATTTGAATTCTACCGAGCTAAAGATTTCAAATAAAACCAATTTATTATGATTGTTAAGAAAGCTCGTTCAAAGTTTAAAAAAAATTGCAATTTTAATTTTTAAAATAGAATTTATTTAGTATCAGTAATCCAGTAGGTATCTGGTATAACTTTATTCACCTATGATATAGTTATTATCATTTACTGGAGACTTACAATATTGAAGTAATTATATATATATGAAATAATAGTAATCTTTAAAATGCGTCAACTTTTTATATAAAGTTTTTCAGAAAGATATTTGGTAAATTTGAGACTAAAATTGCACTATAAAGCTACCGATCATTTTTTTGAAAAATCTCTTGTATAAAAAGGTTCTGGTAATTTAAAAAATTGAAACATATAGAGTATAGACTTATATATGTATTAAATAATAAAACTTTAAAATACATATTTTATCTCTGCAAATAAACAAAAGCAGAACATATATATTTAAACTAATTATAACTATATCATCTTTTATGCAGGTGTAAATTTGAGAGAAGAACGAATAAATAACATAGTATTGTGATATTGTTCGCCATTATAATCCTTCAGTGGGATATAGCGATACCCTAAGAAAGTAAAGAACATTTAGAATTACTGATAGATAAAAAGAAAAAAACAAAGGTTAAAAAAACAATTCTCACCAAATTGTAAACTGGTTACGGGAATGCAATAAGATCCAACGAAACCATCACTGCCAAGATCATCATCCCAAACAACGAATCTTTATAAATTCAGATTATTAATGATTTTTAATATTCATTTAAGCAAATTATACATTAATATTTTCAATAGAATTAGATCTATTTACCGTAAAAATACCAAACTCAATTCTTCACAATTAAATGTAAAATTTAAGGTTTCCTTCCATGTAGGGTTAAAGCCGTTATCAGAAATGGTTTTGGTCCTTTTCTTTATAGCATCAGCACCGGGGATGTGCAATTGTACTTCAACATATGGATCAATTACTTCGTTCATGAAGTCACCTTTTGGTTTAGGGAGCAGTTGTGCTGAAATCATCTATTCGATGCGATGTATTAATATGTATTAATTTGTGAAATAAATAAAGTCGAAAACAAACTTAAATTTGCATACTTCGATTGTTAAAGTTTGAGTTGTGGACTGTGTACTTATAGCCGAAGAAATAATTTCGGGATTGCGTAGCCTTTTTGGCTTGAGTACATAACCACAACTGCCATTAACAGAAAACATGGCATGATCGATTTGCTTTCCTAGGTCTTCAATAAAAGTTTATGTAAATGTCAAACAAACAAAAAAAAAAAAAAAAAAAAGCAAGGTCAAAACTAACCAAAAGACTGCCAATTTAGAGAAACCAATTGACTTCCAACAATCCATTGATGATGTGGTTCAAAATTTGACGAGTCAACCCGAAGACCCGATGGATATATACGTGTTAAATGGAGTGTATTTTGTCGAGTAAAAGCCGCCTTATCAGACTTTATGTACTTTGAAGCAGTTTGATTACTAAAGTTATACACGTGGTAGTACTTCGAATTTTCTACACATTTATAGTAAGTGATGTTATTAATTTTTAGGAAAATGTAATTCTTAAATCTTTAATTTGATAAGCATACCATAATCAAATCCATCAAACTTAACAATAGAGTAGGCTATCAAGTCTGAAAGGGCTTTTGACATCTGCAATTTAGTAGTCTTTTGTTCTATCAAATATATATCAAATATATAAGAATAAAAGTCGTAATAATAATAATATTATTATATGATTACATTAACAGGCATCCCTAAAAGACGCACCTTTAGATGATTCAGCATCTGGTTCGGCCACTTCGACATAGCCTTCTGATGAATCATTAGGAAGCTTGTTTCCCTGATTACAAAGGTGTAAATTTCTTATAGATAATGTTTGATAAAGAATTTATAAAAAACATCATAAGATGCTTACTTTTATTAGAATCTTATATAATAAACTTGTTGGACTCAGCAATTCTTTAGCGTTTTCGAACGCGAGCCCAGTGACGAGAGTATCACCTAGAGTGTCACGTAAAATAGATGCCATTTGATTTTGTTGATCAATACTACAATGATTTTCAAGTGATATTATTAACGGATATGCGGTGACTTTGAATGCGTAGGTACGGATCGTTGAAATAACGTCTTGAAACTTGATTTTAGATGTCCTAATTTATGATAAAACTTGTCACTATAATTATAACGAAACGACATATAAGTTAAAATTTAATTACAATGTATGACCATGATAAACTATGGGCCCATCAGGTCCGTCCCAACAATCAACTAGATGAGAAAATAAATATAGCTTATAAGTAATTTATGTATCATAAAAAGTCTAATTTACGTATGAGATAAATTTATATTCATACTTTCAAGACAACGGCATCCTCTTTTTAACACGTGTACGTATCCTTCTACTGAGGATACGCCTGTCAGTTGAAGTCCTAGAAGATATCTAAATTATAAAATAATCCATAAAAATAATTAATTGGTCAATTAACTAATTATCAGACTTATTAAACACATTCTGACGTACGTATTGTGCGAAGAATCAATGAAATAATGACTTAATGGTTGTGTCATGTCTTGATAAACTTTGGTGTGTTCTGAAGCAAAAACGGCATTGTCGCTAGACATGAGGAAATAACTAAAGCCCACTAAACTCATCTCCTTAAGATTTTTATCGCAAAATTTATAATATAATTTATCATATTCATCTTCTTTCAAGGAATACTGACTCATTATAAAAACAAGGATGTTAGTCATATATTCATCAAATAAACTCATTAAGAACGTGTAGTAAAATAATAATTACCTTTTGAACATTGACGAGGAAGTCTTTAAATTCACGAAGTGTCAAAGTATTCCCGCGCTCTTTCGCAAGAGAATTAAATAGTTCATCCAGTTCAGCCCTCTTTTTAATTAATTTATTAAATCGCTGAAAATCAGTAAAATCAAGAGAACCATTCTTATTTTCATCTGATTCCTAGAATTAAGATTATCAGAAATTGAAATTAAAATAAAATAAAAAAATAAAGCTAATCATTTAACCTAATAATACATGCAACTATACAAACATTAAATTCGGTCTTAAGCACCGACTTTGTCATGTATATATTCAAATTATGACATAACTTTGCAATATCATCGAAACCTAATCTTGAATCGCCATCATTGTCAACCTGCTTCCACTGTTGCTCCAGCAATAAAAATTCACGTTTTCTCAAATGACCTAACCCTCCGATCACATCCGTTCTACGCAAATATAGTTTTTTCAAATTATTGACCCATATATTAAATAATTCTAAAGTTGGTGCGATTAAGTGAAGAATTTTATGTCTTCCAGAATCAACATAAGTGATGGTGAACCATCGAGGCTCAAAATCCGCACTAAGATTGAAATGTTCTCTATAACATCTTATATCTTTACCAATTAGAAGTTCCTTAATACTTTCAATGTTGACTAATGAAGACAGATAATCGCAAGAATTAAAATGAAGACCAAAATACTTTCGTCAAATTATTAAGATATAATATTTGCCTTTTCCGAATTTTTTGGAATCCCATAGAATTTGACCTTGACCAACATCGACCCTGAATATTTTTTGTTGTTGCTTTTTTAATGAAACTTTTAAAAAGGCAGTTCCCTCGATGAGATGCGAATCGACGACAATCTCGTTTGACATCATTAAAAAATTTTTTAAAAAAAAAAAAATTGGAAAATGCTATTGTATATGCTTAGAGTATATATATATTTTATATACTCCAAGCATGATTATGCTGTGTACTCATTAGCGATGTTACCCAAACTATTTGGACATCCCAAACTATGTGATGAATAATATCGCATCACCTTATTGTTATTCCTGAAATCGTATGATGCTATTCATCACATAGTTTGGGACGTCCCAAATAGTTTGGGTAACATCGCTAGTACTCATTAGAGTTATCGGTGAAACTAAATAGTTTGGTTTCACAAATTTTATAGTTTCACGAATAGCTATAAGTATATTATTCTCGGTGTATCATTTCTATGCCAAGCGATTGAAATCTTAGATCCTTCGGATTAATAGTTAAGAAACTATTTTCATGCATTACCTTATATAGGTTGAAATGAACTGTAATTGTCTATTAAATGAACTTTTCTGTGAATTGATCGTTTACAAAATAAGCTTATCGGTGAATTAATTCTGTGAAATAGTGTCTATCGTTATGAAGTGACTGGCTGTGAAACGATACAGATCCGGTGTCCTGCGTTACGTCAGACGAAATTGGAATTGCCATTGTTTTTAGCGTTAGCCATATCGATATTAACCATTTCATTTAGCCTGCATTGAAATAAATAAGTTTAGCCTTGAGCAGAAAAAAAAAACATTCTAGTTATTCTATAATCTGCAACCTGTTTCATAAATATTATACGAGGAATTACAGAATTAGTACAGTTGTTCTTGATCAGATTAATTTTTTTACATCAGCCTTTTTTTATTAGAAATTTCTAATAGAAATTTCTACGTACAAAAAAATTGTAAAACCCAATATAACCATAATTAGAAGCGAATTTGAAATTTAGGTTCATCCCCCTATAAATTTTGACCAATAAAATTTAATAGTAGGTGTAACGTGATAGCCAAAACAACGTGTTTATGATAAGTAAAAAGTTGCATGCAATATTTAAGAAAACTGCATTACGTATCATTATAGTTAGGGATAAGACTAGATTGATGTGATAATTAGTAGTAAAATTTTACAAGAAACGTTTTTAATTAAGCCGCAGAAGAGAATACGTATCATTTTATAGAAAATCATTATCACAAAGGACCAATAGATCAGGAGTTATTCACTGTTAAAGATTGTCTATGAAATGAACTGTCTGTACAATAAACTCTTCAAAATGAACTTATCTATGGCAGACTTTTGTTTAATTGGCTGATTTACTCGGTTAATTTATTTATACACATTACGAGAACGCAACGTTTCACTAACTAAAAAATCTCCGTGAAAGAAATTACTAATTCTAAACGAACATGGATATTTGCTTTTAAAATTAATCCAAATAATTCACGCCTTCAATAACTTCATTTAAAGCGAATATTTTAATCAGTGTTGTTACGTCTACTATGTCCAAGACTTTTTTTGCCCATGTCCACGTCCATAGTGTCCACAATTATCCAAAGAATATTTAAGCTTTAAATTTAATGAATTAGTTTAAAAAAGACATGATTATATATTTTATAGTTCTGAATATTTTTACTTAAAAGAATAAAATAGGCTAGGCCACACAAAGTTGATTTTTTCGTTTTGCATTACATCTTCTCCATCATTTATTTCTGGTTTGTACGCCTTAATGTTTTTGATTGTTCGTATCTGAAAAATGTGACCTGAATACTGCATCCCGATCTTTCAAGAACTCAAGGCGCCACGTAAATCGTCGTAATTAGATTTCAGTTCTTTGAGGCCATCCCTCAATTTCCTGATTCTATTCTGGCGCCTGCGGTTTTTAATTATAATCCTTTTATCTCCGCTTCTTTCACCCTAATCTCCCTTCTCATTAGATCCCGGTAGTTCGATCCCCATCCTTTGTTCCGAGTTATGGCCAATACAAAATAGCTTAAACAAGTCCGATTTGAAATTTTTTTCATCGATCACAAAAGGGCTTCCAGAAATTTCTTTTATAGAGAACTTCTTGAATAGTTCCAACGATCTTGAAAAAAAATCAAAAATCGTATTTATTTGCGTTAGAATCCTTTCTGAAACTGGATGTCAACGATCCTGAACCTTCCCTAATAAATACAAAAACACATACAGTGAAATTTTAACCTTATTATTAATTCTACACTAAAAATAAAAAATATATACCATTGCCAAAATTCTCAGTTATTTACCAAGTCCAAGTTCGTTATGGTTTTAGTAATGGGGTCAATTACAAGGCGGCTCCACGTTCCTTCAGAACAGTGTCTTTTATCAACACCGCGTTCCCATATTTGAAATCTATAAAAAAATTAGAAGTTATTATAAAAATACAAATAAAATGAAAAAATGAAGTATAATATAGTAACCTATTTACATTAATTAATTATTTATTAAGGTGTTATTTATACTATATTTTATCCAAATGAAAATAAAAAAATTCTTACATGTGCCTATACATATCTCGTATAAATATATATGGTTGCACTCTATCGTTATTATTGACGTTCCCGAAATTATCATAGTGCCAATTCTTTCTATTGCAATAGAATTTCTCGAATAACTCTTCAAATTCTTGTTGGCAGATTATAAGGAACATTCCACGAAGTACACAAGATTGTTAAAGAATTTCTCAAAATGTCGAACAATCCACAAGAACGCTTCGTAAAACATTAAAAGGCCACCAAAGAAAACGATGATAAAATGCAACAGAAGACAAACTAAAAGTTAAAAAAACGAAAGTTAAAAAAAAAACATAATTATAATATACTGTAAGAACATCGAAGTAAAAAATGTTGGGAAAGTGATAAAGTGGATAAGAAAAAACCCGAACCTTATATATTGAAGGGGACGCGTGTTAGGGTTACCTTTTTGATGCAGTTATGGTTAATATAAATATCAATACAACTTATGCAGTATTAGTATATAGTGTAACGAATTTAATTTTATAATCTTACCCTTTTTGGTGTAATTGATTATTTAACTAAATTAGTATCGTGATTGTTAAAGCCTTCGAAGGAGGCAGTGTGCATATTGACATGAGGCTAACATGATAGCGTGGTGCCTCTGATGTCATAAAGTAGGTTCCAGAATGTGTTCTCTTTCATATTAATCGAAATGTATAAAAGTGAAGCATTAATTATAATAGACGGAAGAACCTCGTTCTCATAATAAAGTAACCTGGACATAATGGTATTCTCTCCTTAATTACACACCATCACCCTAATAGAATTACCATGCCCTATGGAAACCTTTTATTACTCAATCCACATAACTTCTTAGTAGCGGTTGGAACTACACTGCATATTCATTGTGCGTCTCTCTCCCAACCAACCGTTACAAATAGATCAATATCCCTTTTTAGGGGTCTGTTAAATATGATTACGTACAGTTGCCTCCGAAAGTTTGTCACGGTTACACAAAACATAGTCAAATATCGATATCCAAATCAACGATATAATATATTGCGCGCAAAGTAATAAAATATAAATGAATACAATTGACTCTTGGTATAAAAAAATAACCGGGCCCGGCCAAAATCTTTCTTATATTAAAGATAAAATTTCTCAATTGAGATTTGTAAAATCTTTCTTATATTAAAGATAAAATTTCTCAATTGAGATTTGTAAAATCTTTCTTATATCAAGAATTTCTTATATTGAAAGTTTCTTATATCGAGAGTTGTATACGTATATTATTTGTCAAATAATTTTTGTGTAACTGTGACAAACTTTCGGAGGCAATTGTACATCGTACGTAACATGCTAACTATTATACCTAGTGAACACTTATTTCCGATATCGATATATAAAAAATCATGGCAAAGAAAACACCGAAAGAATGGTTTGAAGAAGCTATTTCTAAGGGGCATATTAATTATCTAGAACATAATAAATTTACAGTGCCCACAATGATTGGTATTGGAGGCTTCGGGAAGGTTTTTAAATACGAGTGGAAAAATTGTGATTTAACGGTTGCTCTTAAATGCCTTAAACTTGAAGCTGATGTAGAGTTAGACGAAAAAATTGTTAAAGATTTTGTCAATGAGGTATTTTATTACATTACTACTTACATTATTTCCTGGGTAATTCTAAATTTCTTGAATAATAATCTAAAATAAAAGCTTAAACTATTACAAAAAGTTGATTACTATCCAAATATTATTAAATTCTACGGTGTTACGAAAGGTATATATGAAATTCAGAAGTTTTAAATCTGTGTAAAATAACTATTAAAAATATTTATTATAATTAGACAATAATGGATATTATAATATGGCTTTACAATATGCCAACGACAGAAATCTACGAGAATACCTGAAAGCAAATTTTACTAGGACTTTTATTCTTGCATGAAATAATATTATTCATAGGGATCTTGTAAGTATATTATTTTTTATATGTTTGCAAGTTTTAACTATAGTAATTAATGTTTTGATAGATTTTATAGCATTCAAAGAATATTTTAATCCATCAAAAACAACCAAAAATCGCAGATTTTGGACTACAGGTTATGCATAGCACGATGGAGCCAGATTATAATCAGGCATCGAAGAGAACCAGTGACAAGACAAGCGAAGTAAAAAAGCACTGAGATTCACCATTTACTCCCACATGTATCTTTATAATCTCTGTCACATGCATAATCTCTATCACATGCATATCTATAATCTCCACAATCATATGCTATTACGTACCTTTTTCATATAAGCCTCAATTTCATATAAGCCACGATAATAACCCTAGTGTGACTATTGTCAACGCATAGGCTATTTTATTGAAATAATCCCACTTTCATTAAGATTCTTTATTTGTAATGCTAAACAATTTTCACATATGTACGTACGTACGTACCTATAAAAAAGCGACAATATGTAAAACTTTAAATATTGGTACACTTGAATTTAATGATTTAAATCGACGTCTTTCTTTAAAATGTCAAATATTCTAAACCAGACCAACAAAGAAACTGACATTAACCAATTACATTTAGAAGATAA